ATGGGTGAGGTGCCTGGCTTCGTCCGCTTCGAAGCGATAGGCGACGGGAGCTTCCGCAGCTCTCTGCTGGGGGTGGCGGTGGCCGGTCTGGCCGAAGGGCGACCCAGAGACCGGACCCGGGTCGGCCATCACTCCATGGGGCTGGGTAGCTCTTTAGGCACACCCACCGGTTGTGGTTGGGAAACGTTTGTTGGATTTTTGCTGTGGGCTTAGTGGTTGAAATTTTTCACTTCACTGATAGAATTTAAATCTTCCTCTTCCAACGTCGACGAAGAAACGGTGGGTGTTCCTTTTGGTTCCCATTCAAAAACCCACCTATGAAAAAGAATCAGATGTGGCTATGAATTTCAATGGGGAATCGCCTCCAAAGTTGGCGGACATCTTCCCCCTGCTATATGATGTCATTAAAGTTGACACCTATGTGGTTTGTCTCAAGGCTTTGATTCTACCCGTTTGCTAAATTGTTTTTGAAGCCTGTTGAGTTGCTATGTCCTTTTCCCCCTCCCACGTGTGGTGCGGACACATTTGTGCTGATGTACTTCTCACGCCAAATCCCGGCCCATTCGGCACGGAGAACCTGTCCCCCTTCTCGAATGTCCTTGAAAGTGCAGCAAAAGGCGGTTTGGCCTTCATGTTTGGGCTGAGTTTTGCTAGACTTTTAATTACGACGCCCTTGGCATTTTTGGAACGTCATTTAGTTCATCTTGCCCATGGCCCAAAAAGCAGGAGAGTCTGCAGAAACCATGGGGGAAACACAGGCGAGCACTATAAAAGAAGTTCCCTTGTCGTGTTTTCCTTGTGGCTTCTGTCCAGCTCAAAGACTGCCCATGGCAACGATAAGTCGACGTTTTTTTCTTCGGATCGTCCGAGGCCCAGGCCTTGCCGGTGCCCTGTGCGCAGGCGGAAAACGGATCGGATGGGAAGCAACGGATCGGTGGCCTCTAAGCTTTTTTTTGCGGCTGAAGTGACCAATCATCAGGAACCCTGTTGGTTTTGGAGCCCGGTTTGGGATATTTGGCTGAAGTGACCTAAAAATCAGGGCAACCCGTCAGGTTGGTTTGGAGAGTGGCGGGATTTGAAGCCCTGGTTTTTGTAGAGGGCAAATGGGAATCCTGGGAGCCCTTCCAAACCCGTCCAAGCCTCCAATTAGAGGGAAGCTGAAGCAAGGCTCCCGTTGGGCGTTTTGGGACTTGCGGTTCCACCCTTTGAACTGGTGTCTGCTTTTTTTTCTTCCCCAGACTGAGGTGACCTATATATAAAAAGACCCATGTTTGCTTTGGGGGGTTTGCGGGGTCCAAGTCTGGAGAAAGTACATCCCATCTAGCCTGCTGTGTTTCTTTCTCGTGACCGAACAGGCCCATGTGTTCTTGGGTTCTTTGGGGCCTCCCTTGTTTTGTTCCCACGAGCCTCGAGGGTTCCTTTTCCGTCGGGTAACTGCGAGCCCAGCGAACGGGGTCACAGCTGAAGAGTTCCTGGAGCTTTGGGCCCTGGAGTCAATGAGTACCCTCCGTCTTTTGGAAGAGTACCCCCGCTTACTGCTCCCGAAGCGTCAAATGCCTTTTGGTGCAGTGGTACCCTTGCAGCACGTCACAGATAGCCCTTGGCGATTTCTTTGTCGAAATGCGAAGCCCGCGGGTCTTCCTGGTTTCCCGAGAAAAACACAACTGGAAAGGGTAGCCTTCAACAAAAACACACACCCTGTTACTTCTAGAAGTCGTTTAGGGTGATTTGGAGGGTGCGTGGTGTTTCATAAGATCGTTTTGGAGAGAATTCCTGTTGTTCTTGATGGGGAGCCAAACGAACATATTGTTGGTTGTTGGCCCAACAGGGATCTGACTGCCCCGAAACAACTTAGAAAGCCTTCCGCCCACCTATTGTAGCCTTCTGGTTTCCCTTGGAGGTCCTTCAAGTGAGATCGTGTTTCCTCGCCTCTTGATCAACTCTGCAGAATGATCTGGGCATCGTTCGAAAAGTCACTCGTTCAAAAAGTCACATTGACATGCCTCCCGATGATCATGGATGATTTGAAGGTCATGCCAGGCGTACCTTTGAGAGCTAAACAAATGGTTGGGTTGTTTTTGTGAGGCCCGGTGCTCTTTCCAGGTGGGTTTTCAAGGAAAACCTGAAGAACGACCACTTTTGGGGGGAACCTCCCCATAGACACCCATTGGGGTCACCCTATGTTTGTTGGCCGTGCACTCCGCATTGTTGCTGGGTTCCCGCACAGCAAGCCACCGCTTCCATCTCAGGTGCCGGTGAAGCAACAGGTGCGGCAAGGCGGGATTCTTGGGGGTCTCTCGAGCCATGGCGAGAGCCAATTGGCCCTCACAGACAAACAGCCATCAGGAAGGCAGGAAGGGGAGAAAGAGGGAACACACCACTCCAGCGAGGTGCCTGCCTGTTGGCCCTGGCACTCAGCCCGCTGCTTCCCCCAACAGCGCGGAAGCCGAGCCGCAAAATTTCGAGCGGTGAGGTCTTCGGAGCCTTGGGGAGGTGTTTATTGGTCGCAGTGGTTTTCCGTGAATTTCACTTGGGTGCATTTTGCTTGGATGTTAGGACTTTAACTTTTTGCCAACGAATGGATTTGTCCATTTCACCACTAAAAGGTAAACTTTAGCAGGGGTTTCAGTGGTATTGAGTGGATTTCATTGCTTTCCAGTGGTTCCAATGAATTTCATTGGTTTCCACTGGTTTCCAGGGGATTCCAGTGGATTTCAGTGGATTTTAATGGATTTCGGTCGTTTCCAGTTACCGGAATAGAAGGTAACCAGCTTTTTCCCCTTTTCATGTCAAAGGGAGGTTCCATTGGTTTCCGATCTTATATAGGTAACCGGAACAGTCAATGTTTCTTGGGGAATGAGGTGTAGGACCATTTAGCCCTTTGTGGGGAATTATGTTTTTCCCCAGCTGGAAGTTATGGGATTCATAGGCCCACATCGGCGAGAAGGAGTGGTTTGGGGCAGGATTGTTCATGCGGCAGGTTTGAGGGGGGTTCTGGAGGGTCAGGAAAGGGCCCCGAGTTGTTGGGGATATTTTGTGGGCAATCCACTTTGGCCAGAGTGCGTGCTCACCCGGGCCAGTACTTTCCCGTCAGCGAAATTGTGCAACGGCACTGCGAACTCCAAGGGATGGGAGCTGTGGCGCAATGGCAGCGCATCATCCCTGTTGGGGTGGAGGTTGAAGCCTCAACCCCTTCCAGCTCTATGTTTCACATTCGCAGCTCATGTCAATAGGGCACTGTCAACTCCAACCGACTCGAGGCTGTCAGAGAGAAAGCAGGTGGGTCATTGGGAGGGCCAGCTGACTTTCATACATTCATTCGCACTCCTGGTCTGGTTGATTTGACCCTTCGAAACCCAATTTCTGCATCCCGACTCTGCAGTCAGCCAAGAGATTAGCGACCCCCCTTAAACCTCCAGTGAATCCACTGCAGTTCACCCACTTTTATAAATTCTTGCAACCCTTTCGCGCGCCGGGAGGTGCCAAAAAACCATCCAATCGACCCGTAGCAAGCGCCCGCTTGACGCCTTTGCGAAGGTGCTCTCCCTGAGCTGTGCGCTGGCGGTTGCTTGGATGTCTCCACAGGCGCGGACTCCGACCGAAGCAAACAATCGCTGATGGCCGGATGGGGAACCAGAGGCCCAGAGGCCTGGAGTCCAAATGACAGTCCCGGCCGGTTCCGCGATTGAATATTGAGTCCTCAACTTCCCCTCTTTTCCAAAAGTTGTGTCATGGGAACTTGGCAAAACCGTTGCTTAAGACATCCGGTGACCCTTGTTTAGCTTCCCTGATTCCCAGGGTCCTTCTTTGCCGGAACTTGTCACGATGATGAGTTTAAGAAACAGCTCTACGACTAGACGGAAGAAGTTCGGTTCTGACGAGGCCCCGCTTTTTTTAGGCCTGGCCGTGGTTCACTTCCAGAGCCGTGAAGACGTTCTTCCATAGAAGGTGGAATTGATGGTATTTTCGCTACTTGACACAGTTGTACCTCTTCCTCAAAGTGGAAGAGAAACAACCTGCAGCATATGCACATCATATTCCTCGCAGGTGTCAGAGGCTAAGTGCGAAAGTATCTGACCCGAAGTGTTACGGGATAAACTCTGACTTTTTTTCTAGGGAAGGGATAAAGGGATCTTCTGTGAGAATGCTCGCCATGTACCGCAGATTTGGCTGTGACTTTCCATGACTTCCACCATCTTCCACTCCTGCGGGCCTTTGAGCGGGTCAAGGGGCAAGGCACCGAGCGGTGAAGCTGCGAGATGAGACGCCGGATCCGTGGCGCGCGAGAACGTGGTGCGCGTTTTCGGGACACGAAGCAGGCATCCACGGGCAGAGGTTCGACACTGCGAAGCACCTGATGATGCGGCGCATGGTAGCCGGGATCCACTGGCTTAAACTAGTTTATTTTTACTTATGGTAGCAGAGAACTTTGTTTTTTTGCAGCCACAGTAAAAAGGAACGGAGCCAAAAAACAAGAACCATGCCAAGACCAGTGATGGTTTAATTTGGTCACTCACATGCATGGTACATGCTTGTCAGACAGTGATCTTGCCCAACAGCACCACTCAATGCGTGGGTTCTTTCGTGAAAGATTTGGAACCACTGGACCTTGGATGCCCAATGAAAGGCATAACCGTTGTTATATCTTGGGTAATCGGGGTTGGTCCCCATACCATGGTTTCAACCTACTTTGCTGGTGCTTACTATAGTGGGGAATGACCTTCGTGTTGGGAATGAACTGGAAGGGGATTCCCGCAAAAGGAAAGCATAGGAAATGAATGGTTTTCGTTGTTGGGGCCATCCCCTGCCTCGTTCCCTGCTATCGAGCCAGCAAGCTACTTGCCAATGTCGACCCGATTTTGTACACTTCAGTTTAGTACGATAGGGGCGCCCCTGGTTTTTGTGGGGGTTCACTTTTGGAGGGGATCGCCCCCATATCAATAAACTGGGGTTGATTCATATTTTGGGTCGACATGTAGCTTTTTGAACATCCCAGACCGGTTGGGAGGGCCATGCTGGTCTGCCGGACTCGTAAGGGCCCAGCTTTGCGGGGCGTGCTGGCCTGGACACTGCTGCTGCAGGCGAACGAGTCTGTGCGCTCGGCTCCACTGTTTGACCCCAAGACTTAAATCCAGGCCTTCTCCTTTTGGGGAGAATATGGAGAATGGATATAAATGAACTACTGTGCCAATGTCAACCTGGGAATCCAAGAGTGGAACCCTGGGTCGAAGTATCGCATTGTGCGTTCAAGTTGATCTTGTGAGTTGTGTGTCCAGCTGAACCTATGATCTTATGAGTTGTGTTCAAGTTGATCTTATGATCTTATCGCATTGAGTGGCACAAAGGGGGGGCTCATCGTCCAACAGAATCGGGCCTGGATCTGTGCCTGGGGCTTTGTGCATTGGGCAGCTTGCGCTGAGTCGTTGAGATGTGACGTAGAGAAACCGAATCAGAAATCCGTCAATACACCGAAATCCCTAAACTGAATATTTGGGTGGGGGGTACGTGGCTGCAACATATTTTTCCCAATCAGTCACAAAGAATCAATCAAGCAGAGGGTTCCAATCAAGCATGTTTCATGCCCGCTTTCTTCAACACGTTTAGATGGTTACTTGAGTCGGCCGGCTAGAAGGCAGGTCGGCTGTCCCAAATGACCCGCTGAAAGCAAAAAAAGAAGGTAGAGCACCAGCAAACAGTCAGACCCACCTGAACCCTCAAAACTACCAAAAAGTAAGTGTGGGGTAATTCGCAGTGTTCTGGGTAGTTTGAGGGCCGGGTAGAGGTATGCGGCAATTGGACGCCCTTTCACACCTGGGGTTCAATCTCACGTGAATCTTGTGATTTAAAGGGCAGCGCGTAACCACCAAGCCAGGTTAACACTGGGTCAGTTTGGGAGATAAGAGGGGTTAAGTGATTAGAATGGCGGTTTGGGGTAAAGCTTTGAGATAAAAGTTAGCTTTTTGTTTCAGCCCCTCCCAGTGATTCCATCTACTGGTATAGGAACTGCATAATTTCTTCTAAAAATTAGCAGGACAACTGATCGAAGGCTTGCCGGATTCACCGCGAACGTCCACAACCCTCAAACTACCCAAGAAAAGTGGTTGCCCAAGTTATGGGGCGAGTTCCTTCTTTTTTTTGGGGGGGGTGGGAAGTGCAATCAATTTGCAGGTCTGCCTACCTCGCGGGGGCCCCAGTTATGTGTGATTCGTACCCACAGAGGAAAGCGGGATTGTGAGGTCCCAAGGCCCATGGCCTCAACTCGCATGTTCTTTGACTCACTTACAGTCCTGAGTTTGTGGACTGTCTACTTTTTGACAAGACCATTTATAGTGGCAGAATAAAACCTTTAGACTTGTTTAGCCAATCCACTCAGGAAGCGACTTATTTGTTCCTACTATTTCTGGAGCACAAGACATTGCTGGTATGAGAAGCAGGGGGCAAACCAATCAATCATTTGCCACGTTTTGTTTAGTGTCCCTCTTTGGGCTATTGTAGACCCACACGGCCAAACGAGGGGATCAGTTGTTTGATGCTTGATTGAGTTGTTGATGTTCAAAGGGTGTGGCAACTGAGTTGGAGTCAAGTGTCAAACGATACCCGTCAATGGGGGAGGGCGAAGACTTTTGAAACATAGATGGGATGATTAGTTTGGTCAGCTTGGGACCAGATTGCTTGGTGTGTTGGTCCATCGTTCTACTTGATGAACATGCGCGATTCATGAACGGATCGATTCCACATTGAACGCGCACAGACACAAGCCGTCTCCATGGACCAAAGCAATTTATACATTCTTCAGCAAAAACATGGTTGAACATAAATTCCTTTGGCTGCTGGGTTACCTGAGGTAACCAGCCCGCCCTCCTACAGCCAAAGCTTCTGCGTTGGATACCGAAATCGTTGAGAGGGGCATCGTTGGTTGATAGAAGGGTTCTCGTGAGAAGGCCTCTGACCACAGCTCCAAATCCCGGAAAATCTTTTTTGGAGGGCACCCGTTTTGGGGATCCGTTTTTTTTTTTTTTGCAAAAAACAAAGCTACGGCTGGTCCCCTGGTCCCCTGGTTGGTTGGCTGGTTGGTTGGTTGGCTGGGGATGTTGCCAGCCCTGCGCAAAACCAGCCCTTGGAAAAAGCCAGCCCTGGGAAAAATAAAACACCGCTTCTTCTTCTTTTTTTTGGGGGGGGGGAAAGAAACAACTCAAGGCAGGGCTCCCGGTATTTCCCCCTGTGGTGGTTTCAGACCTCGCCTGTTGGTTGCCTTTTTGTAGAAGGACCTCCTTTGGGGTGCTGTTTGGGGAACTATCGGGCCTGAAAGGGACAGGCCGTATGTTTTTGAGGGGTTGGTTCAAAGGGGGTTCCCCTCTCTGGGGTTGGTTCAAGGGGAAACCAGACCCCCCAAAGATTGTCGTGAGCCTTTCTCACTGGAGCTTCCTTCGTAACGTACTGGAGCGTGTCTTGCGGATTCGCGCTGGAATATCCATTGTCATACCGTCATACCTTTTACATGATGGCCAGAGTTGTACATGTCACCCATTTTCAGGCTTCCCCCCTTGACACACCCAAGTCCTCCAGCTTCGCGCGGGTTTCGGGCCTCAAGGCTTCCAGCCGGCGCACGCTGCGGTCGGTCGCCCGGGCCTCGACACTTGGGACCCGCACTGCGACAAACTGCCAAGCGCCTTCAGCTTCACCTGTTTCTTTTCTTGTTTGTTTGTTTGTTTGTTTGTTTGTTTGTTTGTTTTGTTTGTTTTCCTCAATAAAGCACTTCAGCCCTAGTTTTGTTGTTTAAAGCCATCAACGTCGCGGCGGCTGATATTGGATGGCAGTTGCGCCTGAAGACGAGACCCATGGGTTTCACGGGCTCGGGCAGATGAGGATCTTTCGCCTACGCTTGGGGGGGACATGCGCAAAGCTTGGGTTCTTTCTATGTGCATTGTTGGGGGGGTCAACTTCTGAAGCTTCGACCTGTTTTTGGTTCTTTCCCTTCGGTTTGGCAGGATTTCTCACCAATTAACGCCCAGCCGCTCCATGTATGAACATGTTTTACGCGGCCACATGTTGATATTTTTGTGGAATGCCTGGCATTCCCCGCTAACCAGCAACCAAGAGGCTTTTTGGGATGGATTGAAGAATGACCAAACTAAGATCACGTCCCATTGCCGCTTAAAACCTCAAAGCCCATCGCCGCTTTTGCCAAATGGCAAGCGCCTGGAGGCCCATTTCAGATGCTGGCGGCCGGAGGGGAGCGGGGGGGCAGGGAAGCGTTGGCCGATGTCAGGATCAATACAGGGATGATTTCAATGTGGACGGAGCCTGGAAGCAACACCTTGTGTTGGGGAGTAGCTTGTCTTCACTACACATTCTGAAAGAGGGTGAACAAGTAGCTAAGCTGCTTGATGCTTCAGAAATATGTTTCAATCATATTGCCATCGAAGACATTTTTGAGCGTCTGTGGCACGTCAGGCAGCTTTGCGTGACCTGTTTTCGAGGATTTCCACCACCTGCCACTGGCGTGGATGGAACACGCGGCTGGTTTTCCGAGCCCCTTCCAACATCCGGTGTCCTTTCTATGGCACTGTGGGTCAAAAAAACCGTGCCCAAAACGGAACCCTGGTTAAACGGAAAGGACCAAGACCTGTGGTCCCCTGGTGGTTTGAGTTTGACCCATACCCATATAATTGTCCCTTCTTGGGATCGCCTTCTCAAAGAGTTTCCTGCGGACTTGTGATGAGTTTCTAGTTTCAGGGGGACAATTTCCCACCACAGAGGGTGGTTTTATGATCCGATGTACGCTGCACAAAGCCTTCAGCGATGTTTGGTTGACCCCAACCATGTTCCTTTTCGTGTTCTCCCTTTAAAGCGACAAAAGGACACGCTTCTTGGCAGGCACAACTCCGAGCCATAGTTTATCCTAGGTCCCCCAGTAGTGCCCTTTCTCACCCCTTTTTTGGTTGGGAGGGTTCCCCTACTAAAATAGACGAAACGGAAAAAACAGACGGGTAGCCTTATTCTAACCTCAAACTACTGGAGGACCTAGCGTATGATTGCTCCATCCAGTGAAAGGCCGCTTCCTATTTTGATACCCCCCAGCTGGCTGAGTCTGCCATCTACTTCGCGAAGTTCGGCAGGTGCCGGCCATTGCTGCGGGTTGGTGTTTGTGGAAGGGTGACTCAGGCCGGGGGCTTGCGGCAAGCCAGCTTGCCATTTGCGCGGCTTGGAAGCGACACATGTTGGGGAGTTCTTTGTGTGTTTGGCACGGATCACATTAAGACATATATTAATATAATACATATATATGTATATAGAGATTCACAGTATGTATATATATATATACATATATATATATACATACATGTCTTTTTGTTTGGCCAGAATCTAGATATGATTTTTCGGAGGCAACCGCTGAGACAGACAATTTTTGCCAGAGATCTTGTTCATGGCCACAGACTCTTTTTTTTGCCCAGCTTTGGCTTTTCGAGTTGTGTCAAGTGTTGGCGTGACCTGTGTGGACTGCGTGGCTTCACCCTTGGCTAGGTGTCCGCTGGGCAGTGGGCGCCTCAGAGTTTTAGGTTCGAGCGGCGCAAATGGTGGGTTTTAGCCCTTCAGAGGCAAGGGCCCAGAAGGCGACATTTCTTTTTTTTGCTGGTGAGCCAGAAGGAAAACCCGATTGGCAAGTTCTTTGCATGCCTTTTTTGACACGATACCCGCAACTGATAAAATGATCGTCATATTGCCCAGGTCCATTTACCTGACTAAGGGGGTTCCCCCACCTTTTCAAAACAAGGACAATAGCAGAGTGTTCCTAGGGCAAAACGCTGGGATTTATTGGGTTATCTTGACTGTTATTGGGTATCTTTAGACTTCAACTGTTGTGGGTTTTCCATGAAACCCACAAAATGTTAAGCTTTTTGCAGGGGTCAGCAGCAACCAAGTTTTGAGACACACCCATTTGCCCGCCATTCGCCTGTGAAGTCGTGCGCAACACGACTGGTTCTGAGGCCGTGCCCGCACTCCGTGCTGCGGGCGTCATGTCGCCGGGGGCCGCATCCGAGCGATGTGTCAATTTACGGAGGATACCTCCGGCGGCGCCCTGTGGGCGGCTCGTTTTGTTTGGTGTTGTTGTTTTAATTAGGAATCTGACTCCTTCAACATGACCAAAGGGGTTTTCCTGATGTATAGTCTTCAGAAGCACCAATGAGAGGGTACCGTGCAAGATGGAAGCCCAAAGTGGGTGGTTTTTGCTTTTGGCTTTCCTTGAAGAGCAACCTAAAAACAAGAAGCAACACCCATTTGAAGTGGGCCTTCGTCCTCAGGAACCTTAGGTTTGTAGTATGGTCCTTCGGATGCATGCAGCCATTTTTTGGGGGGGCGCTTGCGCAGAGCAAGCACTCAACATAGACAACCCTTATAAGTTACCAATCCCATTCAGGGCATGATGTGTTTGAGCTTCTTGTTTTTTGCCAGAGATGCATGTGTCTTCCGCGTGTTTCGGGAGGTCTCTTTTTTAGGAAGCCCTGAATTGCTGGTTTGGATGAGTAGTTTGGGGATTTGAGCCCCTTGCTTTTACGTAGAGGTCCCAGCAACCAAACCACCAATCCAAGCCACCAATTCGAGGGAAGCTGAATTTTACCCAGGTCTTTTTGCCACCTGTTGTGACAACATTGGCGACCCGCTTTTGGAGTCCTTCACCACGAGGGGGCCCAACATTTTTCTCACAAATGATGACAAAAGTCCTGGGTAAAATTCCGCTTCCCTCTGATTGGTGGTTTGAATTTGGTGGTTTCGGGGATGTGTGGCTCCTACTCCACCCCATCTACCACACCCCACCCCATCCCCAAAAAACTCGGCTCAGGTTGGTCGCCTGGCTGGCCCTTGCCGCTCTCGCCGCTGCCTCCGAGTTTTTTGTCGGCCAAGATGCGGGGACAAACTGAGGACCTGGGAACCAGGATTCGTTTCCCTTGAACATTGCTTCTTTGGTTGACGTCCTGAAACCCGGCCCAACATGGCCCAACAGACCCAGGAGCCCTTCTGAGTGGGCATGGACCTCTTGGGAGTCCAAAACTGGATGTCCTCGAAAAAGGGATTGCCATGATCAGACCAGCGCCGGTTCACTCGTTTCGCCCTGCTGGACAAATCTGTTCTTGGGCGACTGTTGGTCAACAGTTCAGACTTTGGCCAATCCATCGACTCGAGCAAAGCAAAGGGGCAAGAGGAAGCGAACAGGACAGCCCCCGGCTCGACAGCACAGCAAAGAGTTTCCAGATCGGGGCTGCAAGACCCACCGAAGGTCAGCCCAAGGTCTTTTGAAGCCAGGAGCCGAAGAAGCGAAAAGGATCGCTTGGTGCAAATCATAGAACCCCCTATCCCCCTATGGCTGGTTTCCCTCAAGGGCAACAAATCACAAAGTTGGTGGGTTTGTCAACCAGCAAGGGGGGTATTGATAATTAGGGTGAGCAGATTTCATGGCTGGATCCGCCCCGCGGTACTCAAACAGTTGAACCAACCAGCTGCTGCTTTGGCGTTGTCCCCGTTTTTCTCTGCTTTATTTATTTTATTTTATTTTGTGTGTGTGTTGTTTTTTCCTGTTTCCCTGTCTTAGCCAAGCATGGCGCTGGGTAGTTTGAACAAGAAACCCGGCTGGCAGAAGTTCAAAGCAGCCCAGCCTCGCTGGGCCACAGTGCTGGTCAGATGCCAAAGAGTTCCGGAAATTCGGGTCCTGACCCTTCCAGTTTCGTACGATTGCCATAGGTCTCCCTTTTAGGTTTGTTTGCTTAGAAAATAGAAGGCACCTATGATTAGATGGGTTGGATTCCATTTACCAGGGCCATATATTTTCCCAAAGGACACCTATTATTGCGTATTCTAGGTCCCCCAGTAGTGCGCTTTTACAAACTTTTTTGTGGGGGAGGGTTCCCCTACTAAAATAGACGAAACAGAAGAGAAAAAATGTGACGGTACCCGAAACCCTAACCTCAAACTACTGGAGGACCTAGCGTATGATTGCTCCATCCAGCGAAAGGCTGCTTCCTATTTTGAGACACCCCGGCTGGTTGATCCATTGGCTTCCGAGACCGAAAGCGAGCGCTTGGACCTGCTGGCGGTCCACGCCTCAACTGAGCAACAAGAGACTGAGGTGAACATGGGCTGTCTTCTGGTTGAGGGTACCCTGGTTTTTTCAGGCTGGTTTCACAGGGCGAGTTTAACAAAAATACATGTTCATCTTGTTCAGGCTGGTTTCAAAGGGCGAGTTCAAGAAACAAACACATGTTCACCTTTTTTTGTGGGGCGTCCCCCTCCATTTCAGCGCATTCCAGATCATTCCTTTCTGGCTGCGGAACTCCAGGGATTTCCGCTGGAACAAGAATGGAGGCCCTACCCATTTGCGCCAAAGCATACTTCAGCCCAGGCCAGCCGAGAGTGGATTTGTCTCAACAGACCCCGTTGGCTTCCTGCCAAATGGTAGCGGTTGCGCTTGTAGTGTTTCACGACAGATCAAGCCTTGCAAGACGTTTATTTGCAACAAGTACACCTCAGAAACGACAAAGAAAAGCAGGGTGCCAGGGGTAAAAAGTAAGGCACCCACCCAGACATCTCTGTGGTTCTTGCCGGCCTCGTGGACCTCAGCAACCTTTTGGCGGGCCGTTCCTGTGAGCCGCGAGCGAGCGAGTCGCGAGCGAGGCGGTGCAGTCGGGGGCCACGGCGCTGTTGCTGGGACTGGCGCAGGCGAAGTTCACTTGAGGTTTGGGGTGGGCAGGGAAGGGTTGGATTTTTGATGCCCCAAGGTCGACTTTTTTGTTTTTGTTTTTTTTTTGGGGGAGGGGGTGCCCCAAACTCGACTGAAATCCATGTGTTTTTTTTGGGCGGGGGTGGGGGTGGGGCTGGGTTTGGTTACCTGCTACACTGGTAAGGGTGTTGGATTTGTGACTTAACTTGCCGCGAGGTACGCTCAAACTCAAGGGATCCCAAGGGTGTTCCTCTTTCTAAATTTTAGACTCTAGATATAGTTCCGCCGATTTTGTCGCGAGCTCACTTCCAAGGCAAGGTTACCAAAAGGAGCTCAGATTGACTTGCTTGCCTCACCAGGTGATGTTTTTAAATATAGCCAACCCTGTTTCCGAGGCTTGCCGCTGGTTGCGTGACTGGAGGTCTCAAGCCTCAAGCGCCGCGCGCGTTTCCGAGCGTCCGGATGATGTTTCGATGCGGCTGGTCCCCGTCCGGCTGCTGTCGGGGGAAGTGGTGGAGGTCAATGCCGACGCCGGGCGCCCACGAGGGTTGCCTTTGCTCACACTAGTATTTTGAAGCACGGACCCCTTTTTGTCCGCGTTAAATGGTTGCCCATTTGAAGCCAAGATGCGCACCACGGCAGCGGATGTAAGTACAAAACGTGGAAACAAGCTTGAGTGCGCATTTGGTGCTGCTTTTTGTCGTGCTCTGCTCTGCAGCACCCTCCAGCAGCCGGGGCAACAGCACAATGCAACAGCATCAGCGCCCTGCCAAAATTCCTGGCGAGACCGTGCCCTTCTTTTAGTACCCAGCAGCAGTAGCCTGCGCAACTTTCAGCCCGGGTAGCACTCTTGAGCAGCACCCTGCACAGGTTTCAGTCACACTTGCCAGTGCCATGCAACAGCAAGCAACAAGACGCTTCGCAACAACAGCAGCAACAGACTTGCCTTCAACGGCACGCTTTGCAACTCAACATACAGACGCTCTTTGGCATCACCTTGTAGCAGCCCGCACATCAGCACCCTGCACAGCACCCCGTTCAACATCTTGTGCACCCGCATGATGGTCTACTTGAACTTAGAACCCCTCTACGTAGCTTTCAACTCTTTGGAAAAACCGACAAATGTTGACCCCAGAGTAAAACAACCCTGGTTGAACAGGATCGCTCGGAGGTGTTCAAAACGAAATGGCCGGGTTTTGCACCTCCACATTCCCTTGGCAAACCGCCGAGGGGTCCTCAAGTGAACCCAACGCATTCAGGAGTGGGTGTGGCTCAAATTTCAAGAGCTAGGGTTGGTTTTCGTCTTTTGGTACATGTTTTTGAGCCCGCTGCCCTGGAACAGCCCGGTCCAAGTTCTCAGACCCCCATGAACCGCCAGGAAAGCCTGGCTTTGCAACGCTCAAAAAGCAGGGGGAGCGGGGGTCGGGGATTCCTCCAGTTCCCTTTTTTGGAACCTCCAAAAGAGGCAGTTTTACTGGAAACCGCCAGTGACTTGATCCACGTTTGATTTGGGACATCCAGTGAGCCCTGTTGGAGCGGCTGAGGATCGCAGCACCGTCTTGGACATCAAAAGGCGGGAGATTTCGGAGATGGGTTCCGCTGGGCGCGGGGAACCGGGTTTTAGATTCCAAACGGGTTCAGAAAGAAAAAGAACAAAAGGTCAGCCAGAAGAAAGTGTGCGCAAGTTGGCGAACTCTTTTTGCGTTTTCCGACCCTGAAAAAGGTTCTGGTGCTTGAGAGGGAGCGATAAACTGAGAAACTGTTTCACGAGATCACTGTCCCCCTGAGCAAGAACTGAGATCCCGGAGATTCGCAAAGCTTCTTTTCCAGGTATCGCGGTCACAGCTGAACACCCAGCAGTCACACCCTCTTCAGACTCTCCAGCGAATGAGAGCCTTGCAAAGCTCAATGTTTAGCTTCGTGGATCCAACCTCGTTCTGGGCTTTGCGTCAAAAAACTGGGGGAAGCTTCCCCATTTGTAGGGATCCTTCTTCTCATCGAACCATCCTTCATCCAGGGGCAACAGCTGGTTGTTCAAGCGACTAAGTTGTTCAAAGCCGACCTTGTGACCTTTCGGTTTTCCATGTTGGTCTTTTTTGTAGAGGTCCCAAAAGGTTAACCTTTTATTTACAGGTCCTTTGGGCAGGTGAAGCAAGCGATGGTTGAACAGAATAGGGAATCAACCCCTAGAAGGATGAAAAGGAAGCCGCTGCGTCGCTGGATGCTGATGAATCCTTACCAATGCTGCTTCACCTAATATCACTCAACGAGGTACACACCTTGAAGTTTCAAGATCCCTTTAGCAATAAGACCTTCATCATATGGATATGTGTCCTTTCCGGGGGGGGGGGGAGTGAAAAGTATGGTTGCCCCTGGGGTTGTTCTTGGGTAAGTCGGAACATTCATGGACCAGAAGCCTCCGGCAGGCAGCTCCTGCATTCGGTCCCAGCGGGTTTCCCTTAGAGAACGCCTCTTCCATTTGGATAGGTTATCAGCAGGGAAAAAGAAAAGAGGAGGAGCCTATCGGAATGGGCGAACTCCCGGCGAACTCCCGGCGCGTGCGAGGGTGCAAGCGAGCGATGTTGCGGCGATGCGGCTGCAGGCAGCTGGGGCGCGCCTTGGGTTGCCCCAGCTTTCTGATCAAGCTGCTGCGGGGCGCGCACGTCTTGACCTCCGAGGCGCCATGGGTGAAGCAATGGCGCGAGGGCTCAAAGCGGGGAACAGGGGTCAAAAAATGACCGCAACAAAGGGGGGTTGCCGTGAGTGGGTTTTGGCTTTACAAGCCAGGCAAAAAGGGGTGTGGCTCTTGTGTTGTTCTCGCTTTGGGCCCAAACAAAAGGGGTAGAAGACACACTCACAATGTGGCGTTTTTGAGAAATCACCGCGTCAAAATGTGGGGGCTGTTCCTCTGGTGTCGCCTGCCATTTAAAGATACCAAAGAGGACCCACTAGTTTTGACAAGCTCCGAGCTATCATTCAAAGGATTCGGTCACAGGAAATCCCAAAACACCCCTAAACAAGCTGTTGTCCTGTAGAATGTCCTGTAGCCCAACCCTTTGAATCATGGAAGAACAGATAGCATTCCTAGGCTCGGGGTACGTGAGCGTGTTTTTGTCGGCTGAAGAAATCCCCGTCCAAACGTGGAACCCACCAAATGGTTTAGTGGATGGAGCGGTACTTCCTGACACTTGGAAAAGACACATTGGTGCCCAAGATGCAGGGGCATGTTCGGAAGATACTTGAGGTTGGTCGAAGCAAAGTGGAGGTAGTGCAGGTGCCTGGTTTGTTCCAAGAGGAAGTTTGCTAATGTTGCCCTCCATGTTTTTGGACTTATTGTTGAGGTGGCACGCGAAAAGTTTGGACCTTTTGGGACGTTCCACTGCAACTGGGTAATGAGGGTTCTCAATTTTGGTTTTTGAGGTGTTTTTTTTCCTCTTCAGGATGCCACTCTACTGGACCCTGTCAAATAGACAGTCTTGAACAAATCGCTTCACCTCCTTTGGTATCCCCATTTTGGGGATCAGATCGGTTCCCCATCCCCCGGTCCGTCTGAACTGTCATTCAGACTTGAATCTACCCAAGCAAGTACGACACACCCACTTGGAAAGCTGACCTTTTGACCTTTTGGTTTTCCCATTTTGGTCCATATTTAGGCATGGCCACAAAAGGTTAACCTTTTAGTTCCAGGTCCTTTGGGCAGCTGAGTAATGAGTATAGCCAGGGCTGTAAGCCAACCCTTCTCCCTCTCATGACCACTGGGCATCCTGAAACCCCCCCCAAACCAATCCAAGCAAGTGACGACTCAGGCGTAGACCCAATTCAAATGGCCCTGAATTTTAATAAGGAACCTCCAAAGTGGTTGGTGGGCACAAACAAATCGCCACCTAAATGGTGTCCACCACAGGGTCCCTCAATAAAACAAATCGCTCACCCATCAGGGTCCCTTATTTAAAATCGCACCCAAATCACCATCCCTTATACAATTTTGCCAATTCAAATCGCCAACGAGGGAAGGCCGAAACCTCTACCCTGGTCCATCCACGCGGGTCTTTCGCTTCGCGCGCGCGCGCCCTCGGGCGCGCCAGGCGGAGCTTGGCTCGCTGGTGGACCTCGCGGCGGTGGTGCGGTTGCCCTTCCAGAGCTTGGTGCAGGAGACTCCAATCCATCGGCCGGTGGCGGAAAAGAGAGAGAGAGAGAGAGGAGAAATGCCGAAATTTGGAACTCCTGTGAGAAACATGGGTTCCAAAACCTGGGTAACCTGATGGAACTCTGGAGGTAAGGAAACATATGGGTACGAAAACCTGTCTTAAGCCCTCCTGGTTGAAAAATCTGAGCCACACCCGAATTTGACTTTGGAGAAAGCGCAGTTTCCTCTTGTCACTCTTGAAAAGGCCAGCGAAAAAAAAGAAGTGGTTTGTTAGCTGGGTTGGTTTGGGTTGGTTTTAGGTTGGCTCTGCTTTGCTTGCTTGCTTGCTTGCTTGCTTGCTTGCTTGCTTGCTTGCTTGCTTGCTTGCTTGCTTGCTTGCTTGCTTGCTTGCTTGCTTGCTTGCTTGCTTGCTTGCTTGCTTGCTTGCTTGCTTGCTTGCTTGCTTGCTTGCTTGCTTGCTTGCTTGCTTGCTTGCTTGGCCTTTTGTTGTTGAACCAATACGTGTTTGAACCGGAGGTGCTGTTTGGTTTGCAGGACGCAGCCTTCAATCCCTTGGATTGCTAAAGCATGCTCAGGTTGGTGTTCCCGGAGGTCATTTGTTGGCTTGAGGACACCCGCTTTCAAGGGGACACCAAGAGGATGGCTGAAGCAACGCCGCGCTCACCCGAAAGGAGCACAAGCTCACCATGATGAAGGTCCTTTGCTTGGGGGAGTCCCGATTCAGATGTTGGAATTAGCGCAGAATTGGTAGATAGTTGTCAAACCCCGTTTTTGAAGCAACACTTCCCGGAGGTGTTGGGTTGAAACCAACTTGGCGGCAGGTTCTTTCCAAAATGGTTGTTCAAACTTCAAACACTAGGTCTTCAGAAATTGAAGAATCAGAGGCTTCAACCACACGTGTTCTTGTTTGAGGCTGCCTTTTTGAGGTGGCCTTAAAATTTCACCAGCAGCCATTGTGTTTTTTCGTTTTCGTTTTTTTTTTGAAGAAACCGTTACCCCCCAGAGGTTGAAAGAGCAGTTCAGGGGGCTGGAATCGCGTTGTGCAGGACTACGACCAGGACCTCCTGGAGGCCGGGCGCAGGAGGCCATCGAGGTGCACTGGGTGCCTCATCTTTCGGGAATCAGAGCGCATTTGTTTGGTTTCAAAGAGAAACCAAGAAGGCCACCGTTTGTGGATGCCAGCAGACAAAGGGGTACCGGATCGAAAAGGACAATCAACTGGAGTTTGGTGGTAAACCATATCCTGAGTTGCACGCTCCATGCAAGCAATGTTCGCAAAACCCTGGGTCAACAGCTGGCATATTTGGCCATAAGCAGGGGCTGGGTGTCTTACCACATCATAACCCTCGTACCCCGCTCACCGACTTTCTGGACATGGTGGCATTCCGGGTAAAACGCATCTTCTTCGGTGCCAATCCGCTCAGGATATCAGAAGTTGTAACGCGGACGTGCCTTTAGAGTGCCTTTAGCGTGTGTTCCCAAACCCTGAGAATCCTAGCTTCCCTTGATAGCCGAAGACATCACTAAGGGGAACCCGGATTGAAAACACCCTGGTTGACAATAGGGTTTATGTGGGGGTTGATCAGCACACTCCCCTATTAGTGGTCATTTAGGTGCAAACCATCTCAGATCGGCTCGAGTTTCCGTGAATTCACCGAGTGACATACCGTGGACGGTTGCGAAATTCAACTCGCGCACCGTTCAGAAACCATGGTGAAAACCCTATGTCCGTTGAGGAATCGAGCCATTGGGAGCCGCTTGTGTCAGGCGGTGGCGGAGTCCGACGTGGCGCAGCTTGGCGGGGGCTCGAGGGGTAACGCTTTGGCGAGTGGGTAATGCCAATACTAGGTCCCCCAGCTAGGGGCCGTTTCTCACCCCTTTTTGGTTGGGAGGGATACCCCTACCAAAATAGACTACAGAAAAAAGGGTACCAACTTATTCTAACCTCTTTACTGGAGGACCTAGAATAGGTGGAGGTGGGGTGGGGTGGGGTGAGGATGGTGGCGGATGGCTGGGTGGGGGGTGGGGTGGGGAAGCGGTGTTAGAAGCCAAAGATCGCTTTTGGGAAACAATAAATCCGATGCCGAAAGCACACTAACGCCAAGGGAGGGAAAACACATCAAGTGTGCGAAGCGACAACGTGCACGAAACCCGGACCAGACATACCTCCTTTTGCCCGTCTATCTCTCAAAACTCCATTTGATTCGATACCAAACACCCTGTGTAACAGCTATCCACACTCTCCCACATTTCCCGCCGCAAATGGGCCTACATTTATCCATATATATATATATATATGATAATTCCGCACTGCAAGTTAAACCAGCATATTTCATTTCGCCATCATTGTTTCTATGCTCGGGTACATCAAACTTTGATACTGGATAACCAACTGCTTCTGAATCAGCGTCAGCTGGTTGTGCGATTTAGAAGCATTATATGGGTTATAATACCACTCCATGTCGTGACTGCACCACGAGACCAACCGTGCCCAACTACGTCATGATATTTTGGAATGTTTTGAAGCCACTAGAAATTGCAGATGTGTGAGACATGCACAGCCACTACAGATCAAACAAAAATGGAAAGCCCCACCCCCACCCTCCACCCCCCCCACCCCCCACCCCCCACCCCCCACCCCCCACCCCCCCACGCCCCACCCACCACCCCCCCAGCTGGTTCTGGCTCAAAAATCCGGTACCAAGATGGAACCCTGGTAAGTGGAAACATGGACCAACACCTGCGGTTTGCCCCTCCTGTTTAATTTTGAGCCACCCACAGCTTGAGGCGTGTGGACGAGATCCTCGCCAGGGCCCAGCACCCTGACCCGGCCGCTTCCCTCGCGCCGCTGCAGAGGGCCTGCGACCAGGGCTGCGAGGAGGCGGACGTTTTTCGGAGTCGCTGTCTGAGGCAGAGCCTCGGGGGCCGAGGTGTGAGGATGGGATTTGTTTGTTTCCGGTAAGGGGTGGAACAGGGGCCATTCTTTTCAGGGTTTCGGGGTATCAAAGTTGGAAAATGGGGTTGTTTCCCTTTTACCTACCATTTGGGGGTGACTTTGATGGTAAAATGATGGGGCCGGTGGAAACCAAAGGTTTTGGGGTAAAGGGGCCGGCTTGAAACTTGACGAAGTATGAGGCT